TTTTTTTTAATTGAATTTGTTGCCAACAACAACAACAAAAAGAGAGCTTTTACATAAAGATCCTGATGTTTGGCTTCTGTGGGAAAATTGGGAGATCTGGCAAAACCAGGTCTACTTTTCTATAGGTAACATTCTTCTCCAGCCCAGTAGCAGAAGCCTGCTTTAGACCTGGGTGGGAGGTTGCTGAGAATGGGCCCCAGGGCTCCACATGGGGCCCAGTGCTCTTGAATGTCTCCCAGCACAGGATGAGTATCATGTAAGTGCCTTTTGCCTCTGAGATTGTGCTGTTGGTTTCAGGACCCTCTTCTCTCCTTTGTATTTCTGCCTGGCCCCCAGAGACATTTGAGTTTTTGACCTTTGCAGCTGTCAAACAGTTTTTCTTCCCTGCTCAACATCCATGCTTTGTTCAGGCTGTTTCTTTGTCTGGAATTTGTTTCCTGTTGGGCTTGCCTACCCAAGTTTTCAGCTCATCTTGAAGACCCACTTTGGGTAGTCTTTCACAACCATTGTGCTCATAGCCCCTCTGCTTTTGCACAGACAACACAGCATTTGATGTTCTCTGCTCTCTATGGTTTCATGTCTTATCTTACCTAGATGGTTATATTCTTAAAGTCAGAAAACACGGCCAGTTGTCCCCCCACCAAAGAAATGTATCTTTCTCATATTTCATATCTACTACTGTAACATGTTAATGCTTATCCCTTCACCTACTTGCCTTGCTTATTAAAAGGCAGAGAACAATAGCTTATTGATCTACCTACCAGTGATTGTAAGGAATGTTTGTCATGGTAAAAAGAAGTAGGAGAGTCTTATAAATATGAAAGTAGTATAAAAATAGGTCTAAATAAGAAGGCTGGTAAGGAAACAGAGGCCCAGAAAGGCTAAGTTCCTTGCTGGAGTTACACAGTATGGGGGCGGGGGCAGTTAGTCTTGGGCCTACCACTGTAATACCCAGCTGTTGCATGTTAAGGCTGTAATGTTTCCTGGTAGATCTTCTACTTTCCAAATCAGATATCTATAGCCTCAAATCATACAGATCCTCCTTAAGGCTTGGCATTCACATATCAAATAAGACAATGGCCAAAGTTACTTAAATTGTACATGACAAATTAGGCAAAGTTGATGGATGCACATCAAGCTTATCACCTAGAGTCAGGATGCCAGAGGTGCTGCTGTCATTGAGGAGGACATGTAGAATGTCCTCTGCTTATGGTACTGTCCACAGTGGGGGAAGCGATATATCTGGATGATGATGCATCATGTGTAAAAGCAACACTGGTGAGGAGGAGAAGATGAAGGAATCTGGGAATAAAAAGTAGTTTAGTGGGGCTGGAGCTCAAGGTCTGAATCTGGGACTAGAAATAAAATGAGGCACATCCACTATGGAAAACAGTGAGCAGACTCCTTAGAGAATCCAAAATAGATCTACCCTACGACCCAGCTATCTCACCACTGGGTATATACCCAAAGGAAATGAAATCAATATATCAAAAAGATACCAGTATTCCCATGCTCATCCCAGCACTATTCACAACAGCCAAGAGATGGAATCAATCTAAATGCTCATCAATGGATGAACGGATTAAAAAAACTGTGGTGTATATATATGCAATAGTATACTATTCAGCTATTAAAAAATGATATCCTATCATTTGTAGCAACATGGATGGAACTGGAAACCATCATGTTAAGTGGAGTAAGTCAGGCACAGAAAGACAAATACCTCATGATATATCACTCACATGTGGGATTAGAAAAAAAGTGGTTCTCATAGAAGTAGAGTAATGGTTAGCGGAGGCAAGGGGGAGAGGGAGGAGGAAAAGTGATGGGCTAATGGCACAAAACTGTGCCGTCTACCCTAAGTGAATCATTGGGCAGTATATGCATGTAAACAACACACTGTACCCCACAAATATGTACAAGTAAATGTTAAAATATTTTGAATATGAAAAATAAATAAATGGAAATACCACAGTTAAAAAAAAATTGAAGGAGATGGGTGTGCTCATTCTGATTTGATCATTACACATTACATACAAGAATAGAAGTATCACACTGTACCTCATAAATTTGTATGATTACTATGTGTCAATTAAAAATAAGAAAATAAAAAATTGAAGTAAAAAGCAAAAAAACAAAGAAGAGGGAGAGGAAGGGGGAGACAGGTTTACGTGCTATGCTAAGGGATTTTGACTTTATCCTGAGGCGGCAGGGAGCCTTTAGGCTTAAGGAGGGCTCAGGTCTGTGACATAGAAAGGCCTGGTTGCTAGAGCCTGGGTCTGGGGAAAGTAGGGAGGTGGGGACTTAGGAGGCTGCCACATGAATCTTGACAAGAAGTAATCGTGGTTTAAAGCAAGGCTAGGAAAGAAAGGAAAGAAGTGGATGGATTCAAAAGATGTTAGAGCCTTTTAGTTACTAGGATGACAGTATTCTTTCTGGGTTTTTTTTCCCCCCTTAAAGCAGCTTTTACTCATATCTTCCAGTTATTCCTGGAGGCAGGAAGATTTACGGGGTGGTAAGAAAAACTTTATGTGCATAGCCTTTGATTCCATGTTGCCAGAGAAATGATCATGGTGCCTGACCCAGTGTATGTATCTGGCTCCGTTCCCCGTGGCTGTATACATGTACCCTGTAGGCAACAAGGGCGGCTTTTCACGCTTACTGATCTGCTACCTTGTTCTCACTGTCACATGTAAGTTGTCTCAACAGAATATACCAATTTTCCTGTTTGTATAAGCACACTGTGTACTTTGGTCAAAATGTTCTGTTTCTCAATACATATAAATCTTTCTGCGTACACAATAGCCATACATGGGAGCAAATTGTGTATTTATTCTGTAGTCATAAGGGTGAGTAGATGTTAGGATTGGTGTTTTCTGCCTTTGGAATTTTTGTTCTGAGCTTTAAAGACATTTAACCATCTGTTTATGACTTTTAAGTGAATGTTCTAAGTGGAGGCTATGAATAAATATGCAAATCATGAAAGATATATTGAAGGAGTATTGTCAATAATGAATTGCTCTTCTACATCAATCTCAGCTGTTTTTCCAGCATTTAAAATGTCTAATGTAAGCAGATAGTATTTTTAAGGAGTTGAAAAAATATCTAATGTTAACTATGGGTTTTTATCTGGATTACGTCTTTTAGGAAGAGTCTTTAAGGTGCAGAGTTGCTTCAAATACGTTTAAAAGAATTTATTTTTCCTTAAAGCAGTTTTTGCCCGTATCTTTAATTATTTCCAGATGTGTTTATTTAGTATCATCATGTTACAAAATCATTATAATAAAAAATGAAATGTTGATTCATTGTTGAACTTCTTTTCAGAAATATAAATTAAGTTGAAATTGTTATTTTTGAAAGTCTTATATTCTTTTCCTCTAAGCCGGCTATAGTATATGAATGATTCAGTTCACTTAATTCTTCTGTAAGAGAATGAATTGTATCTTCTCCCACCCACAGGAGACTGATTGACTGGTTCCAGAGATTTCTTTTCACAAGGCTTCAGTTTTCTGACTGCAGTATAAGAATTCAAAGAGTTTTAGAGTTGGACACATATATGCAAATTACATTATATAGCAATTTTTCAAAATCTACTTTTGCTCAATATTAATATGAGAGTAGCAGCTAGAACAAAGACTCCATTGTCAATTTTCATTCCTTTTACTTGTAGTTGAAATCCTGTTGGGAGCTGAGTAAATTTAAATATAAATAAAATGAAACAGTCAATACATTTCCACTGAGGGAACTAGTTATGATGTTATTAAGTCACACATTTACATAATTTAATATTATAGGCCAGCAGCAAATGCTAATACATTTTGACCTTGGTTTGTACTTGAGGTTGTTCTTTGGTAATTGCTGTGGTCCTGACAATCAACAAAGGGGACCAGCAAAGGAGAGTTACATGAGAGAAATTTGCAGGAACTCACACTGCATAGTGTGCTGTGGTGTTGACTACAGTTTTTTAATCATTATCTACCAGCTCACTATCCAGTATAAACTTGGCTCTACCGATAAGTATATTAGTCCTGAGTAGTTGGTACTTTAACTTTTTAACTAGTTTTAATCTTTATGCAAAATTGTAAGCAGAAGTGCTGCATTAATAAGCACCAGGTGTTCCCTTTTCTGCTGTCACACATATTTTTGCATGTATGCCTATATGTATATACTACAGTATGCCTCATTAATTCATATTCTCACAAAATGAACTTCTAGCATATAATGGGGGTTAAGAAAAATATTGTTTAATTTTATAAACCATTCCATCTGTACTTATGAAAATTATCCAGAAAGCAAACATTGAAAAAAAAACTATAATTTCTGCTGACTGAGGTGCTCACTTGTGTTGATGGCTGCACATGGACAAACCTAGGCGTGCTGGCTTTATGAACCTGGGTTTGTGGAGTTGCCATTATGATTTTGGCTAAGGTGTTAGAGAGTAATATTTAGGCAGGGACATAGGAAAATGAAAGACGGATGTTATTCATCTGTTATTAAAAAAAAATTAACTCCCCAAACATTGATTTGGAATAATAGAGGCTAGAAAATAATCATAATAAAAGAAAAATATAAAAAGGAACTGCTACACCACATACTAGTTTTGTTGCCTCCAGTAGCATTCTTATAAATGATTTTCCAAACTGAATCTTACCTAAAAGCTAAGACCCTTTATATTTAGGGCTTTGGGAATGTCTTTTATATTTTTATTGATATTGTAATTGTTTTTCATTACTTTGGATTCCTTTTTAGTAGAAAATATAATTTTGGTGTGCTGAGCTTTGGGACTGATGGGCTTGCTGACCCATTACCTGTGAAGGTGTTCTCTAAAGGGTAGGGGATGGCAGGACCACCCTGCTGTGTCCCTGAGAGAGTGCCATGAATGTGTTTGGGATAATTCATCAGCACTGGAAAGCTCACCAGGAAGAGCTTTGTTCAAAAAGTCAGAATTTATGAGCAGTAATTCAATGCTTATAATTCAGTGTTTTTTTTTTCCCTTTCAGATTTTGGGGTAAGTGCATTCTTAGCAACAGGGGGTGATGTTACCCGAAATAAAGTAAGAAAAACATTTGTTGGCACCCCGTGTTGGATGGCCCCTGAAGTCATGGAACAGGTAAAAAAACAAACACAAAAACTTTTTGAATGGCATACTATAATGGTACATATTATTAATACAATAACATTTCATTCAGGTTAACAATTTTAGTAGCATGCATCTTGTAACTAAGATTTAATTCCCAGTTGCTAGCCCTTAGCAAACTAATGTGGAAGTTGTGCGTAAAGAGCTGTGGATTTCCAGCGTAATAAGGACTTGGTGATGTGTAACATGTCGGCTGTGTAATCGTGTTTTTTTCTGGCTTATTTCTAGGTGAGAGGCTATGACTTCAAGGCTGACATGTGGAGTTTTGGAATAACTGCCATTGAATTAGCAACAGGAGCAGCGCCTTATCACAAATATCCTCCTATGAAAGTAATTACTATTGGAAGTACTATGTTGGATTTGAAATGTGATTGGATGGAATCCGTTCCCTAATTCTCTTAAGCATAGTCATTTTTCTCTTAGACCTGAGGAGAATTAATGAAGGAATGCAGCCAAGTTGAATGTTGTGTGATTTTCTAAGTGGACAGAACAGGACAAAAGTAGTAAAGTTCCCAGCTTTGAAGCTTGCTTTACTTTCTTAGCACAGAGCTGAGGAAAGAATGTGATCAGATTGGTCGATGAAGGTTGATAGCTGTGACAAATGCTGGTCATTCTTTTGATAGCAGAACAACCCTGGATCCCCAAATAAAATCTAAAAATAGATTATAGCAATGTCATCTTTGCAAATGCATTTCCCAGATTTTCAGGGCTTTTTTTTTTTTTTTTTTTTAAATTGTCTACAACATTTCCACCCCTGCTCTCATAGTGTAATGTTGACGACTCATCTGATATAAGTGAGCCACAGTGTTTATAGGAAGTAATATATGCTTTGGATACTGTTGTCAGGTTTTTGTTATTCTTTTAATTGGCCTACCTCATTATTTCTTTTAGATCTGAGATGATGGTATCAGGGCTGATTTACCCAACTGTATTTTATTTTGAGGCTAAAATAGTTCAGTGGAAATTATGAAGGTATTTTACAGAGAGTATGGTGTATGGTTATTTCATGGTTATTGGAAAAATTTAGAGGATTAAAAAAATCCATGAGGATAAAAACGTTAAATAGTTTTACTTATTAAGAAAATAATACATTCTTGTAGAAAATTTGGAAGTACAAGTAAGAATAAACAACAATAATCATTCATAATCTCTTCAACCACAGATGATCTCTGTTAAGGTTTTAGTGTAGTTCATTTCATTGTTTTTCTATATATATTTCTATATATCTACATATATTTTTTCACATAGTTAAGAGTTCAGTATATATGTATGTATATATGTGTGTGTATACATACCTGATTTTGTTAAAATTGAATTGTAAACAATTGAAGGGTTCTTTTGGAGCAAAAGGACTGAAACAACTCTGAGGACTTGTCTTCCATTCAGTTTTTCTTATTTCCTGTTTTTTTTTTTTTTTCCTTTTTCCACTTCTTAGTGTTTCCCATCTGAATCCACAGTTGCACTTGCTAATCCCAGCCTGAAGTCCTCTAGGACTTTTCTTCAGAGTGCACAAGGTCCTCCCCGCCGCCC